GGGCTTCTTCCTCTTTAAAAGTTCCAATTTATAGAAATCTATATAGGCATTACTTTTGCTCTAGTAGTGGAATTTTAACTTATACCCACGTCCCAACACCCTTTTCAAGGCTGACTATCTTTCTGGTTTTCTGCATAAGAAATCTCACAGAGAGTCCACCAATCCTCTCGGCAGCTACTTTATAAAGCTCTAGGAGGGTACCTAGCTGACTGTGGGTCTCAGTAAATAGTAGCTGTTATTCACAGCCCTACTAAGATCCTTCCTCATGACCAGGTAGTAGCTCCTTCTTAGAACCCTAGCAAACAGTCACTTGGCAGGGTCTCCCAAGCGAATATATGTAGAATATTTCCTCATTTCACCATGACTTTTTTTTTTCCTCACAAAAAGATCAGCTATAGGTATACTAATTGCTTCCATGTTTACTTTTCCAGCAGCATTCTGATCATATCTAACCATTATGCCAAAACAACAAATCTAAATTGCTTCAAATTAAAAACATTCATTTTCCCGACTTAATTATGCATTCAAATTGTAGGACTCTGAAAATCAATATTTACCTTATTAGCATTCTTGAGGTGGTCATAATACACTTCTTCAATGGCTTGGAAGTATATTACTCCTTTTAATTTAGCTTCATGCTTGTCTACAATGATAGATGAGTATTAAAAACAAAGACTTTATCACCAATAATGGACAGGGACAATTATAATTCAATATAATTATCATTGTTAAAATATTTACCTAGTATTAAAACTATCTAAGATTAATTTAGATAATCTAGGTTAGTGCATTAGCCTGGTTCTATATTGAAAAAAGAACTAAACTAAAAGATGAAATTATCAGCCCATACCTAAGGGACTAAGTGAGTTTGCACAAGGCTCTCCAGCAAATTAGAAGTCAAAACAGAACCCAGAACTACTGACTGTCAAGTTGATACACAAAGTATAAACACCATTGGCACTAATATAAATAATTTCTCTGCATTCTGTAAGACATTTGTTGGAATGGAAACATGCAGAGCTGTTGTAATGAAATTTGTAAGAATTGTGTTTCTTTGACTTGCAATTTAAAATAATATTCCACTTATATGTCTTCTTATTTATTTTTTTTTTGTCCAGCATGCTTGGTCATTTTTCTTGTTCTCAATAGAGCTTCAAATCAATAATTTAATGTCCTCTCAATGCACTATTTTCCAAACTGTTTCTAAGACTTCATCCGATTTGCCATGAAAACCAACAAAACATTTAAAAAACTCAAACAACCAAACCACCAACCAACCAAACAGCATCACTCTGTGATCTAATAAGCTCTTGAAATAGTTTGTGACTTAAACTCAGCAAGGAACCTAATGCATGTGAGAATTTCAAAAGCATGGATGAGCATACAAGAAAGAGACTTTATCATCCCTTGTTAGTGGAAGTACAAATAAGAAAAAGCCCCCTTTGGAAGGCAATTTGGTAAAGCAAACACAATGAAAAATACAAAAAATCAGGCTGGCCGAGTGGCGCGTTGGTAAAGAGCTGGCTTGGGACGCCAGAGGGCCCTGGTTCAGATCCCTATATGAGGGCCAGTGACACTGCCCTCTACAGCTAAGATACTGAACAACAGCTCAACCTGGAGCTGGGCTCCATGAGTCGCCAAGACTGTGTATGCTGCAGCCCCTGCTGCAGTGGGTTGCCATGGGCTACGGTGTGTAGCCAGCAGCCAGCGTGAGAGGCCAGCAGCTACAGTGAGCAGCTGTCCAGAAGCGGGCGACTGATCTGCCTCACCCGGGAAGAGCGCAATGATGGTGCCAACTTGGGTCAGTGAAGCAACTTCCTCCACAACTAGACTGAAGAACAAAATGACAGCAAGTTGTCTGTTCCCCTTCTCCCAATTCCCCAGTGCTGTTCCCATCCCCCAATTCCCCAGTAAAAAATTAAAAAAAAAATACAAAAAATCCTCTTGCTCAGTAATTCCACTTCTAAAACTTCATTATATAAGAACTACTCATTCACATGCACATAGATTTGTATTTGTTAAAAGATCTGCTTGAAATTTGACAGGGAACTGATTCAATTACAGACCAGCACACAATGGAATCTACACAGCCACCAAAAAGATGGGGGTAGATCTGCATGTGCTCAGTAGAAAACAATCTTGAAATACTGTTATGTGAAAAAGTTACAAATAGTGAATAATTTGGTCTCAACTGTATAAAAGAAGAAAGAACACATGTACATACTGAAACATATATAAAAATGAACAGAGAAAATCTGAAAGGAAATTTCAGGTTTAACAGTGGGAAAAGGTTAAAACTTTTGTGATGGGAAAGAGGCGATTTCATTATGTAGACTTTTGCTGTATTTTTAATTTTTTACTAATGAATGTCCCTTTTTTTCTAACAACAACAATATAAAGCTAGTCTGAAAAACAACAGCCCTGAGAAGCTCTGTAGAGAATAAAGCTGTTTAATTGCATTTAACCCAGCGTGCCTCTCAAACATCTGCTGGAAAGGATTCCGCAATATTCATGGGAATAAATAATACTTTATTTTCTGAAAAGATATAAGTAAATCTTGTCAGTATTTCAAGCTGGAAAACACTGAGGAATGAAACCGTGTGTGTAGGGCACTTCGTATATGAGAAAGAAGTCTGAAAATTACAGGCCTTACAAGGACATTGTGAGCTCAGAGAACAAATAATGCTATTGCAAGTGGACAAGCTAATGCTGCTCATTGTTTCAATAGCATAATCCTACCAATTTACAGATATATTCTCTGTGCCTCAGTTTTCTTTAGAGACTCTTCCAGAGTTACTCAGTCAACACATAGGAGGTCAAGTACAGAGGCCAGGGGTATGGTCAACAAGGGATCTAAGGCTCCAGCTTTCAGCGCTCACGTTTACAGTTCTGTCAGACATACCATGGTCATGTACGTCCCTGACACGCTGAAGCGGCATGGCACCTATGGGATTAAGTCTAGCCTGAACTGTGATCTGCGTGACTTCCTGTGGACTGATCTATTCCTGTACTTGGAGGCATTTGGGGATGAGGGGAACAGACCTGATGATAGCTGTAAACAGAACCAAATGGGCAGCTTTGGTCAAACTAGTTCTCACTGGTCAGTTACATAATATACAGATATTAAAGAGCTGAGTTAAATATAAATTTTGTCTGTTTTATATATTAGGATTCTGAGTAATCTTTCATATACTAAAAGGTTTCAGTGATTATAAAAAAAATTGAAAGCAGTCACTAAAAAGTTAAATTTGGAAAAATTCCTTTACAAAGGTCAGAAAGAAGGGGCGCTGAACCACCCACCTGGCTGACAGATGAAAGGTTGAAATAAAGCTCCCAGGGAAGAGTGAAGCTGTTTTTTCTGAAGTTATTTTAAGATTTTATTTTTGGAAAATTCTGGGTGAGGTTGTCTGTGGAGACTAGCCCATGGCACAGTTTTTTGTGCATTTTGCAGACATTAAATTGGCATTTCTTATTAAATGGGCATCTTTTCTATTGTACTAACTGAAGAGAATATCTCTGGATTCTTATAAAACCCAAGGTCAGAAAGCCCTAGGGAGGTGAAGCAGGGGACCTGTGAAGATTAGGTCATTCACTTCAGACCACTGGCTATCACAGTGACTGGGCCCCTACCCAAAGCATTCCTAACTGAAAGACATGTACCCCTACCCTCTCCTCACCCCAATTCTGGGGCTCCATGGCCAGTGTTTTCTTTTTTCCACGTGCTTCTTTGTTTCTCACACCTTTTTTCATAAACATATCCTGACCTCACACTATAGATTAAATGCCTGGACTGTTATTTTTTTTTATCACATTGGTACACTTTTTAACAGTTCCTGACAATGCTCATAAATGCTGAAACAGTCACCCTAAAGCAGAGTCTCTTCATAAACTCTGGGATGATACTGTTCTTCTTCACCAGCTGAAAGGAGGGCAGAGGTATACTTATGGCAATAATGGACGTGTGATCAAGAATAAATAAGAGGCTTCTTGACAAGTACACCAATATGCTTGGATTTATGGAAGATTAGGTCGGGTATGTTTCTCGTAATCCATCAGTTAAGCCTCCAAAAATATTTCAGTCACTTAATAAATACTTATTCACTAGTTCACTGATAAGCTTTACTCTCTGTGCTTAAAAGACCATTCCAGTTTATAAACTATAGTTGAATGATTGGCAGCTAAGACTGCCTAATTGTGTGTGACTTAAGTAGGGCATATGACCATAAATAAATAAACAGAAATCATTTTTTTCTTGGCCTCACGGTTTAAAAGACAATGTTTGGGTCTAAAAAAATAAATTCAATTTAATGTTTATTTGGACCTAAGTTTATTTCAGAACTAGAACAAATTCATACTTTTAGAAATAACATATTTTTTATTACTTCCAAGAGGAAATTCCTATCATGTGGACCATATAATCTGAATATAAAATATATATTACAAAGTTAATATTGCCATTAATTCTACTGCTTGCCAATCTACCTATTTACACTGAATTTTACTGTCTTTGATTGTTAACAGAGGGTTCCTGATTTGAATATATCACTTAGATATTTTTTTATTACCCACCTGCATAATAAGAGAATGTGCGCTTGTTCCGGTCAAAAACAAACCAACGCTTTTTCCAAGTTTTAATTTTTCCACCCATTTTGATGAGGAATCCTCGGCAGGTCTTCTCTGTGATTGATACATGATAACAGGTATCGATATTGTGGCCAGCAGTCTCCACGTGGCTCCGCAAATCGAAGTCTTCCTTCCGGACAGGCAGATAGCGTGTCAAAGGTCGAGCCTGGAAAAGCAAACCCACTGCATCTATAGCAAATTATTTGTTTCATTTTAGGTGACACATGTTTAGAAGCAGAAATAAACTAAAAAACCTAAGCATTAAAATGCCAGTGTGATTTTGAGAACGTAAGATAAACATCGTCATTTGGAGTCTAAAAAATAGATAGTATTTTAAGAAGGATGCTATAATACTGGATGGTGGGGAGGAGTGGATAAACTCAGGGCAATGGATTCTATTCCTTGAAAGGGGCAGAGGAGAAAATGGAAAAAGCCATTTATCTTAGCTTTAAAAAAGGTGCTTAGCACTTAAAACCACAAGGAAATGATGCATGAAGTTATCTAGGCTGCTTCCTAGAGATGAGGCCTCCTCCATGGTAGAGTTTCCAGGAGTTCTCCCCACCACAACTTCACAATAGTTTTCCTTAAATAATCTCAGACATGATATGATTGAGAACAATTATTTAGTAAGTACATACAACTCTGATAAGATCCCACAAAGCTGTACACATTGGCTTCCATACGCTCTCCAATAGAAATTGAAAGCAGAGATGTATGTTTTGCAAAGTGAAGCTAAAAATAAGGTAAGGAGTGGAATCAAAACTGTACCCATTGAGCTGTCCAGGACAAGACACCAAAGAGACGGACAGAGATGTCTTTTACTTTACCACAGCTGGAGTAGCGGTTCATCTAATCTAGGAAGCACAGATCACCATGGGTAATATTTCTAAAATGATGTTTTATTTATCCTGTTAAATTACCCCACTCCTTTGCCTTAGGGGAAATGACCTAATCATATACTTGGAGGCAAAATTTAGGATTACAATAGAATTGCGCTTTTTGGTCTGGCTTCCGATACCAAACAAGCATGGATGACCGCCACTGTGAATCCAAAATTGGCAGAGGTTTGGCACAATGAAATAAAATGAACAAATTTTCATTTGTAGTTTATCTTCAATATTTTGCCTTTGATTCTGTGGTACTTGACTGTAAACAGAGGTCAGACTTACTGATACCTCAAAGCCTTACAGATAGCCTCTTACTGCTGTACTATCAAACTGCCAGCCACTACAAATAAGGAAATGGTATGTTTTACCTTTACATCTCGTAAACCTTGGTAAAACTGTTTTGAACTTTAACTTACATAATACTTAACAAAATTTTATTTTATTTACTCAGAAAACATACATTATGTAAGCAGCTCTAGTGACAAGAAGATTCAAACTCTATGATGGCCAAGACAGGAAGTTAAACAAAATAGGTGGTTTTCCTGAGTTTTGTTTGAGTTCAGTAATCTTGGGCACATATGTGTGGACTAGTATAGCAAAAGGAACACATATGACAATACAGTAGTTAGAAAAAAAAACCCAAAACACTAACACCACCACCAGGAAACTGGGTTGGTAAAATTACCCTGTTCTGGAGTGTTTGCCTACAAAAGATGGTTTATTTTATTTTATTTATTTATTTTATTTATTTTTAGTGGGATCCGAACCAGGGCCCTGTTAAAAGATGGTTTAATAGAGCTCTTCTATTCCTCAAACAAAGGTTTTGGTTTGGGTGTTATATTTGCTTTCAGCAGCAAATCCAGCTGCATTTTTCAAAGCTGCTCAAAAACAAACAAAACCCAACAAAAAAACATTCTTTCAAATATATCCGCCCAAAAATGGGTAGAAGAAAAAGTGCCTTTCCCATCAAAATGTTCGAGATATGAGGGAAGAAAAGTGTCATCAGCTTATTAGGTCCCCAGTAAGTTTTGATATAAGCATTTTTTTTTTCTTTTTTTGCCCACTAACGCACGTCTTTCCCTTAGCCATTACATATTCAGAGCTAAGGTGCGCGACGGCGGAAGGCATCCTGAAACAGCGTTACCATCCTCCACAGAACAGCCACTAGGGGGCAACATGCTCCTATCTATTCACATTGAGCCACCAACCTGGGCCCTTTGTTTCTCCCTTATTTTTACTTCTTTTTCAATTAACTTCTGCCTCTGGCTAGTTTCTTCCTGCAATCGTTTTTCCAGGAGTTCTCGGCGTCGTTTTTCTTCTTCCAGGGCTCGTTTTTTGGCTTCCATTTCCCGTTCCTAAATATCATTAGGCAGAGCAAATTTTAAGACATACTGGTTATACTTGAATGATTCCAGTAAATATCAAAAAGTAAATTCTCATTAGACAATTTTGGTTTATAACCTAGTCCCTTAACAATATATAGCCTAGACTAAAACACCCATAATCACCTGTCAAAACCATCCTATGCAGAAATGCAACCACTAAATTTAATTGACAGTTGAATTATCAAAGTGAAAATCCAGCTTGTAACTACATCCAGTCATTTCATATTGATGCTCACAATTCTCCCATTTTTAATAAAAAGCCTCACAAATTGTCACTTGACACTGGTCATGAGGTTTTGCTTTTCTTTCAATTGTTGTCTTCTAACTGAAGGTCATGCATGGGTCCGTCCAATTCCTGTTGTTGCTCTGCAGCTTCCTATCCAAGGTCACAGAGGAAGCACATGGGGAAGTGGAAGAGGAAAGGAGGTGCCCTTGAGGGCAGGATGCAAAGGCATTTTGGGGGATTCCTAAGGAAGTTCAGATTCTGGCTTGAAATACAGTCACAATAATGTGGGATTTTTAATATTACAATAGTATATAGTCAATGAAAGCTGGCAAGAAAGAAAGAATGCATAAAGACTTGACATTCCTCCTTGTTCCTTGGCAGCAAACAAAGTGGCCATCGAAGGGAAAATATAATACAAAGCATTCATTTTGGTTTATGGCAATACTATATAGATTTTAAATTATGGAAAACTGTAGTACACCAAAGAGCCTTAGAAATCATCTAACACCCTTAGTTTTCAGACAAGAAAATGAGTCCAAGAAAGGCTGAGTGACAACTCCACGAATACACTGCTTAGTGAAGCCCTGAGGACAGCTTCCTGATGTCAAGTGCAGGACATCTTGAACCACCACATTACTGACCTCTGGCATAAAGATATTAAACCTACCCTGGATTCAAGCAGCCGTGTCTTCTCTGCATGAGCCTGCTTCAAAAGTCTCTCCATTTCTTCTATTCTGGCAATATTTGAAGTGCTGGCACTGAATAAAACACAAAAGGCTTTCAAGAATATTGTTTCAGATTGATGTCTCTACACACACACACACACACACACACGTTCCATGAAGGTATATGACAAAAATCCAATATGATGTAAAGGATGTTACCTAAGAGAGTCACCGGTCTGAAGAGGCCAATCAATTCGACTCCAAAAATTGTAGGAGATACCAACTTATCTCAGTGTGGTAGACAAAATACAGGCAAGCAAAGTAATGCCAAAGTGAAGTGCTTGACTCATAAATAAATAAACCCAAACCAAATTTTACAAAGTGTGTTCTCAAAATAATTCCTGCAAAGTCCAAAAATTATGGCCTGTGGGCGGCCTTCCCATTAGCTTAATTATTCAGAGATGTCAGCCCAAGAAGACTAGCATTCAAGTTCTGTGTAGATGACGCCTAAGGTTTAACGTCGCTTTATTTGGTTTGGAAATATGTGTTACCAGCTGCATTTTTTGTTGTGCCTTAATACATGTGGACATTTTATTTCTTAAGAGATGATGCCAATTAAAAAGTGATTCCTCTTATAGGTTCGATGGAAGGACGGTGGCCAGTTTTATCAGTAAGGCCCATCCACCACACCAATGAAGAAACTGTAAAGGGATTCAAGAGCCTCAAAAGAAATGCATCTTGGGAAAGACATCACACAAAAAAGTAAAGGAAAAAAAACAGATGGAGTAAAAACTGAAAGACCAGTTAGGATAACTAAAAGAGAAACAGAAGAACTTGGAAATATTTAACTCCAAACATAATTTTCTATTTTTCCCTTGCTTAAATTTTATTTCACTATTTCAGAAAAGAGGGATCAAGGTCTAGGTAAAAATTTATTTACTCTGATGTTCCAGCCATGGAGAATCCAAGTTATTTCTTATGCATGTATACTTATATAATCATTTAAATATCTCTCTTCTTTTCTAAACTCTCTTGAGGGCAGAGAGGCTATCATGTCTTTCTCCCCCATAGTATAAAGCCTGGCACACAGTAGGGATTCATGTTTGTTAGTCATATAAAAATGAATTCATATAAAAATAAATAAGATGATTGATAATAAAGTCTTTCAAAATCATATTTTGGATCAACTCAAACCTACTATGTTTCAAATACAAGGCTAAGAGTTCTCTCTCTTTTTTTTTAAATAAACTAAGAGTTCTTTTGAAGAGATAAATAACCACAGTAACACAGTGCATATGGATTATCTTAAAATCAGTACTGTGCACACAGATGTTTATAACTATTTTATTCATAATTGCCAAAACATGGAAGCAACCAGATGTCCTTTAGTAGGTAAATGAATAAATATACCATATTACATCCAGACAGTGGAGTATTATTCAGCATTATAAAAAAAATGAGCTATCGGGCCAGCCGAGTGGCGCAATGGTTAAGAACTGGCTTGGGA